GAGCGCCTCTCGCCACATGACGATTGGCGTCGCCGGTGCCGGAGTCTCTGCCGAGCACGGTGAGTCGCTGACCATCTTATGGGTCTCCCCTCGGAGTCGCGGCTTTCGAGGAACATGTTACTATGTTCCTCCGCCGCGTACTCCATCGGGGGGAGACCAGCGATCACCGCCGCCGCGTTGTACGCCACGGTCCGGTACGCCCTACAGATCCTCGCGGCTATCGGGCGGAACGCACGCGCCATCTGAGCGCGCGCGCGCCGCGATGCCGCGAGTTTTGGGGCCCAAACTGGGGCCCCGTAGAGCGCCACGGACTTAACCGTATTGGCGTACAGCCGACGCACCTTGCCGTCCGGGCCGCCAAGGTTGGGGAGGAGCCGGCCAAGCTTGGCCGCTCTCACTCCCGCCCTGCTTGCGGCTCTGGCAAGGTGGCTCGCAAAGCTCCATTGGTCGTCGAGGATCAACCCGAGATAGTTCATCTCGTGGCCGATCCTGACGAGGGCCGTACCCACAGCCAGGGTGAGTCCCTCGGGCGGCGCGCCGCGTGGTCCACGTCTTTTGCCGTGGAACATCACGGCCTCGGTCTTACCGAGTGCCACCTCGAGGCCCAGGCTGCGGATAGAGTCGACTATCGCTCCCGCTGCCACTCGCCCCCTGGCGAGGGCCACCCCCCAATCGCGGCCCCCGGCTGTCACGAGTGTGTCGTCCGCGTAGCAGACGACGTGACAGTCGGGGGGAGGAGAACACGCAGCACCGAGTCGTACCCCAGGTTCCACAAGAACGGTCTGAGAACCGATCCCTGGGGCACTCCCGGGCGCAATCTCTCCCGTCGGCGTACGCCGCCTTGGTCGATGTATTCGACCCACCTGTCCCTCAGGTAGTCGCTCACGACGCGGGCGAGATACTGCGGTACCTCGCGGCGTCGGAGCGACTCCCTGATTCGTCCCCAGGGGAGGGTGTTGAAAGCGTTGGATATGTCCAACGACACAGCCAACATCACCCCCCCCCCTAGGACGTCGCCTCTTCAGAGAGGGCCTGGACACGCTTAATAGCGTCGATGGTTGACAGGCCCTCTCTCAACCCATATTGGGCCCCGCTAATGTCGGGGCCCGTTTGGGACAGGTGCTGGACGAGGCGGTTTACGAGTACTCGCTCGAACAGTTTACCGACCTCGTCCAGAAGGCATATAGGCCTATACGCCGACGGGAGAGAGGCGTCTTTCCCCTCTTTTGGGTGGAGTACCAGTGTGGCACTCCTCCACCGCGGGGGGAAGACACCTCTTCTCATGCACGCGCTATACGCGCGCGCATACTCCTCTGCGAGGACGCCCATGGCCAGGGCGTGGACACGCTTAGGAACGCCGTCAGGACCTGGGGCTGTATTGCCCCTAAGGCCCTTCCTGACGGCCCTCCGGAGTCCTCCGGCTGGACGTCCAGGGAGTCGTCCCAGTCGGGGGAGTCTTCCCCCGGCTCGGAGGGTGGCCCCTCGTCCTCCCTGGTAATATCGGGGAAGAGGGTCTGCACCACCCTCCGGACGAATCCCACGTCCAGCCGCTCCGTCAGCGGGGGCGCCCATGGTCTCAACTTGTTGAGAACCATCTTGTATGGGCGCCCCCACGGATCCTCCTGAAGGGAGTCGAGGAACTCCGTCCACGCCCTGCCCTTTGCCATTCTGATGGCCGTCTTGAGGCCAAGGTAGCCCTCCCTCGCCAGTTCGGCCGCCTGTCCGCCTCTGCGCCTGCAGCGGGCGAATCTCCTCTGCTGGTGGACGGCTCGTCGACGTAAGTCGGCGATCTCTGCCGTCCACCAGTAGACGGCCCGCTGAGGTCGAGCTTTGGACCGGGGCATCGCAGCGTTACAAGCCGCTGTAAGCGTTGCCCCGATCCACTCGGCCTCTTGCAGGGGGTCCGTCTCCCGGGTCTCGGGCAAACCTCCCCGGATCCAACAGGCGGCCTCTAACGAGGCCATCAGGGCGTCCTCGCAAAGTTTGCGGAGGGCCCATCGCGGTCGCGTCTCCTCGCGGCGACGCACGGAGGAGAGGACGCCGAGCTCCACCGATATATATCGATGGTCTGACAGAGTCTCGACGTTCTGCTCCACCCTCCACCCGGTAACCAAGCGCGCGGCCGAGGGGGTAGCCCATGTGAGGTCCACAATGGACACCCCTTGCGTCCGCACGCAGGTGGGGTTCCGGCCCTCGTTTACGAGGACCAGTCCGTGCGTCTCCGCCCATTCCGCCAGGACCTCGCCCCTCTTGTTCGTGCACCGAGAGCCCCAACGCGTATTCCACGCATTGAAGTTCCCGGCCACGAGGACCAGCCTCGGACTCAGGCGTACGAGCGTCTGCCCGATGTCCAAGAGCCAGCCCTCAAAGAGGGGGAGGCGCCTGGTGGGCCTTAAGTAGGCCCCAACGACCGCGATGGGTCCCCATTGAACGGCCACGTGCCGTTCCCCTTTTTCGATGGCGGCCGTGTCGGGCCCTCCCGGCACCGACCGCCATCGAATCGCGACCAAGTCCCCCGCACGCCCGTTATCAACAGCCCAATATGGGCTGTTTCTTGGGGGGCGGTCCGGCTCGGACACGATCGCCAACGTGTAACCACTCTCCACCATGCTCTG